TAGCAATTTCAAAAGACAATCCGCTATTAATATCAGCTGATTTGTTAGAAAAGGTATATTTTATTATGCTTTATTTCAATAAAAAGATTTTAGGGTATACCCTAAACCATTTTTTGGACTTAAAGCAGATTTCTTAAATAAATTTATCATATAATTAAATATATTTTTATGATCCGTTAAGAGTTTTCATAAGAAAAATTTGGAACGCAAAAAATCCGAAATAAAAAAACAACTTTTTGAGATATCTTCTAATACTACTGCTCGATCAAATTTAAAAAGAAATTCATCCGAAGAAGATGAAAAAGTCATAAAAAGTATACAACATTTAAAATATAATTCATTTTTAAAAAATAACATAATAAACGTTTTGATTTTTGAAACAAATATGTAATATTTTTAAACATAAATTATTTTAGAGCCAAAAGTTAGTTTTATTCCTTTGACCTTAAATACGCTGAATGACGTAAATTTATTTGCTCTGCCCACTGTTGAAGTAATAAAATTACCAGAGAAAGAAAAAGGTAAATAAACCTAACTAATTGTAAACTGTTCAACAAAGTGTTTTATTAATTTTATGAAAAATGTTTAAATATGGTTATACTTGCAGAAGTAATGCAAAATCAGAACACAAAATCTCTTGATCAGTATAATGCACCTTCATTTAAATCGCCCACATCATGGTATACTTCAGACACAATTAATGAGTACATTAAAATGATAGTAACACGGTCAGAAGGTGAAGTTTATGCAGTTGTCACTGATTTTATTGTAGCGTATCTTCGAGGAGGTTATCCAGCTGTAAGAAGATGGATAAAAAAAGATATTCACACAATAAAATTACTTTTTGTGCCCATGAATGTATATGAGAGTCATTGGATATTGACAGTGGTTAATATACCTGAAAAGACTGTGACATCATATGATAGTCTTAAGTCGTATGAGGGTCCCTATCCAATGGTATTAAAAAATTTCTTAATTGAATGGGAGATGGACAAAAAAGGAAAAGCTTCTACATGGACATTACAAATAGGCGAGACATCTCGCCAAACCAATGGACATGATTGTGGGCCATTTACTGTTGAGCTGGCAGAAAAAATGTCTCGAGGAGATACAACACCAATAAATGCAAATTTTATGCCTTTTATAAGATTAAGACACAAAAATGAAATTATTGCTGGCGAGCTATTCAATTAATATTTTTATGAATGAAATTTTATTTTTGTATTTTATATCAATTTTCTTAATATTCACTATAAATTGAAATTTTTATTTGTATACCACCAAACATTTTTTTACTTTTTCTATGTTAAATTGTTGTTTTGTTATTTTATTTTAATCTTATTTTTCTTTGTAACATTTCATTTAAGAAATTCAAATTTAATATAAATTTATCTTAACTGAAATAATTTAATGTTCTTGTTATGTGAATATACAAATATTATATTATACAGTTATGGATACAATTAAGCTAAAAAGTCAGCCAATTATAAATTTTTAAATTAACAAGCGTATCTACTATCTTAACAACTTAGTTTTAATTTTAGTAAATGACGATTCATAAAGAATTTCATAACTTTTGTTTATTTTTGAAATACTATTTTAATTATAAAAAATTCCTTTCTGTATTTTTTATGAATGCGGTATATTGAATAGGGTTAACTAAACTTATTTGTTTATAATTCTCTAAACTGATAAACTATAAAATAAATTTAAAAATGAACTACAAGTTCAGAATATTTCCGTTGTTATTATATTTTTGCTACGGGTATTTTTGTTATCTAAATGACCCAATGAAATCCAAATAATTTCTAGAAATCTCTGATAAAATGTAGATAAATACGTGTTGTCGAATTCTATCAAATTATCTTCAATTTTGTTATTTATTTAAAATACCATTTATTTTATAGTAAATAAATATAGTATATTATAAAAAAAGTTAACATCAATATAATAGGCATTTTTTTAAAGTCGGGGGGTGTCCAGACATGGAGGACACCCCCCAAAATACGCCACTGGTTACCATAACTTTTAGCTTTACTTGCAAGTTTGAAATTTATATAATTTAAAAGAGAATTTTATGAGAATTAAAAAAAATGATATGTTAAGATTAATATAGAGTCAGGATATTTTAAAATTACTATTTACTCTAAATTTATCAGAAAAGCACAATAATTTATTTTGCATTTGTATCTTAATAGATCACTTAAGTACAAATCATTCATTTTTTAGTCACTTTTGATGTTTAAAAAAATCCTGTAATTAAAATATTCAGAACTTAATTAAGTTTAATGATTTACTTTAACCAATCAAAAAGTTATAAAAAAAATCCATTATTAAATTATGGTGAAACTAAAATTCATTTATTTTTTTCGACGTTATTTATATATAAACATGTTACAAATAACTTTGGAATATTATAGACTGGTAGTAACACACACAAATGGAGTTAAAAAATTAATAAATTACAGAGAAAAATCATTTAATTTTTATATTTGGAACCTATTATCATATCAAATTTAATTTAACAATAAATACTTTAAAAATATTAGAAATAAATGATATTTATTGTCTGTATAGAGAAAGCTAGTAAGCAACATTTTATATAAGAAATGGGATTTTTTTCAATTTTTGAGGGTAATATCTTTAATGAGATAATTATTGTGATCATTTGATATATCGTTAAAAAAAATTGGTTTAAGTTAAAGCTGAGAAAATAAATGAGAGCCACAAAAAAAAATATTATATAGTAAAATAATTTTAAGATGAATAGGAAATTTCAACAAATGAGGAAAGACTTTAGTGATGGAGTCCTTGATATTTATTGAATCTAAATGAGTTAAACAATTTTTCAAACTCAAAAACTTTTGTAAGGTATTTTAAAATAAAATAAAATACAAAATCAAGAGTTTTAATATATAAATAGCATATATTTGAATATGGTAGCCATTTTCACCGTGAAGACAAAATAAAGTCTAAAAAATTTTTTGAATTATATTTATGAACTTATTAAACAATAGAGAGTTCATTTTTTTCTTAAATGTTGCCCTGAGGATTCATCTCCGTGGTTTATGGTATACACTTCTCTTGTACATAGACTTGTAGCTCATAATTTTTAGGTGGGTCAAAAAAAAAGTTTTCTTTTTTTGTAGACAAGTTATTTTTTTTTGATCAAAACAATAATAATACTATTTCCTATATCACATATTCGTTTAAGCTTTGATGCGAAGCTGAGAAGGTATTAATTTTACCATGATGTGTTTTTTTTTATGTCTGTTGCCATTTTTTCTCAGCTCTCACTGGACCGATTTTTTTCAACAATACGTCAAGAGATCACAAATCGTATCTAGTCGAAGAAATTACCCTCGAAAATTGAAAACATTTTCCTTGTTCCCCGTAAATGGGGGAAATCATCAAAAAAATTACATATATAAAAATCGCTAATTATCGACATTTTTTCAATTATTTTTACCTAAAACCACCATAACTTTTTCAGAAATGACCACATATTTTCTCATATTTAGTACAAAATGTAATTAATTATTGAAAATAATTAAATAATAATAAATTATAAATATAATAGTTATAAGATAATAGTCTTATATAAAATTTATCTTTCTAATTGAGTCAAGATATACTACTGGTTATTTTGACTTAAAATATATAAAACAATAAACATTTTTTAACAAAGTGACAACATATTTTATGCAAAAAAAAAAAATATAAAAAACAAATAAAAAAACAATATAGTTGGACAATTCTTAATATTGATTTAGTTCAATAAGTTTATTAATTTATCATAAAATTGAAATATATAGCCACATTTTGTTAAATTTTATTGAGGAAGTTGTTTTTCAATGGTATGGAGCAATTTTTAAATTATTTATATCATTATTTCAAAAACTATTAGTTATTAATAAAATTAAAATACTATATACAACAAATTTCATACCTGTGTTTTTTTTTGTAACGTTAAAATTAAAGAAGATAACTGAAAAAAACTAAATACTTTGAAAAATTAATAAATCTTTAATAATAACTTCACCAAAGGTTTTGAAGTAATAAGAAATTAGGGTAAAGTAGTTCTTCGCAAATTAATTGATTAAATAGTTGCATATATAAGTACAGGATTCTAAATTTATATAGACTTATGTGTATAATATTTTGACATAGAACCCAAGCAGAGACTATTCATAATTTCCTCATATACCTACATTCTCATAAAAGATATATATGACGTGCTTATGTAAACACTCCTACCCCAAGATGCCGCCTTATTTTACTTTATGATTATTGCATTTATATTTTAAATATGTATGTTGTAGCGACGAACGTCGTAATCAAAGAAGAAAAGAAATCAAACAGCCAGATCGTTCTGTAGATGGCGTAAAGCCGTTTAATCGAGAAAAGTGTTACACAAAACAAAAAAGATAAAATAGAACCAGAAAAATAAAACCAAAATTAACAATAATACTATTATTAACAAAGTCGCACTGGGATGGTTTCGGTTGAATTTTTTGTACGGACGGCGTAACCACAGAGCAAGGTGCCACGAAGATGACTGACTGGACGTATTATTGCGGCGGGGTATTCGACGCTAGGCATTTGTTGGACTTTACACCACGACGATAACGCGTGTGTGTAACGGTCCGGTTTACAGTGAAGCGTTGGCTGGGAAGGAGCTGATACGACCGCGGGGTGTCAACGTGTGACAACGCCGTGGCCGTGTCAATGTTTAAGATGTATCTATACATACATTCTACATGTATATGAAACTAGTCAGATAAATATTATTTCACTGGTCCATATGCTTTATTTATACACTGGATAAGTCACTACAAAATTATTCGGTCACTATTCTATAGTGATGGTGTAATATTATATTATTACATATAATATGATGTTATCATTTGTACATGTATGTCACATATTATGATTATAAAAGATCACCAAAACAGGGTTCTCTTATTTAAAATACAAAATAACCCTTTAATTATGCGATAAAATCTCCCTCTTGTAGAAATTATCAAGTAACGCCTACACGCAGGACCCTCTTTTAATTAACCATTTACAATACAAATCCTCAGCTTCCAGGATCACGATAGAGATCGCTGAGCTACCCTTTTCAGACTATAAAAAGCCATTTCCCCCCGTCTAAACCAGTTCTTTTGATGATTTTAAAATACACAAAATCTACGACACTCTACTCAAGATTTCACTCTCCGGGACTTAGTCATTTTCTTTAATTAATTTTGACTTAGAATATTTTTCTTTAAAACTAAATAACACTTAGAAATTTTAAAGTGAATTTTGTTTTGGTGAATCTTTTAATTTAATTTAATTTAATTTGTTCAATCATTAATAATATTTTATTTTTCTTGTTGTGGAAATAAATATCAAATAATATTTTAAACATTACATCTTCTTAAAATTATTTTACTTTA